CTCATGGCTTATGAACATTATGAATATGTCATAATGCAGCTTTACTCTAGAGAAATTATTTTCTAATTTGGTAAAATGCATCGGATATAATATTCTCTCTTTTTTTACCATGGCTGTTTGAAAGTGTGGTATATGGTATATGAAATGTTAATGATGTGTGGTTTTTCTTGTTTTATGGATCGGGGAGAGGCATGTGATCTGAATGATCGAGAATAATGAATTTGCCAGTATAATATATAATATCTTGTATAACTTGTGATAACTCTGAATTGGAACAATTAGTCCAATTATCATGATGAAACTGGCTATTTTTTATGTGTAATCGGATGTCAGTGTCATATGGCACTGAACTGTCCACTAATTAGGGGAGATTATAAGTGTGTAAGCTGGCGACCATTGGCGTCCATTTTTGTCCGGAACATATCTCCAACATGCATTGAGGAATTTTAATGAAACTTTATAGAAATGTTCAGCACCATGAGAAGTTGTATCTCGCACATGAACGAGGTCTCTAGGTCAAAAGTTAAGGTCACACTTAGAGGTCATGGAAAAACGCTTCAGACTAGAGCAAAACTTCTATATGCATAGAAGGATTTCAATATAACTTGGCACAAATGTTCACCATTGTGAGGCGGAAAGTTTTGTGCAAAATTTAGGTCCCTGCGGCAAAGTTCAAGGTAACACATAGGGGTCAAAGTTCAGATAAAAATGTGTATCAGACCATTTAGTCGTCATTTATTGAGGGATTGAAACACATATGGTCATTATCATGACTACCATTGTGAAGCTAAGTATTGCGCACATTATCCAGGTCTCTGCTTTTGTAGAGCAATTACCTCTTTACAACAACCTCTAGTAGTGTAAGAATTAATTGAACCTCTCTTTAGCAACATCTTCCTGAACAACCATTAGCTCTTGTCCTACAAAAGGTGGTTGATTTGCAGAGGTTGAATTGTTACGAAGCTTAAATTACCACAAATGAAAAAAATAAAACTGTTATGTTTTTTGTTGTTGAGCTGAGATACTTATTAGAATGAATTACCTTTTGATTTTTCTCATACAATTATTCTGATATTAATCAATTTTTAGGCTGGTTTTATAGTTTTATTTTTTACATATTTGATGTGTGACCAATTACCAAACACTTAAGTTAAATTGAAAAATGAACCCATTGCAATTATTTTTATATCATTTAAGGCCAATGGCCTGAAGAAAATGTCTATCAAGTGATCAAACAAAGTTGTTGGCCTGATTGTATGATTCATGATGACAGCAGTTTTGGTTATTCATGCAAAATCTTAAGAGCATTAAAGCATTTAGACATTCCACCACCGTCCCAGCCTTGATAACCCTTGCATTACTCATTACATATACACTACATTCAATTAATGTAGGTCAGTGGAACCAGTAACCATTTGTCCAGATAATGGCACCATCTTCATTTCCCTTATAACCTGCAGAATTTATGAAATGGATTCACCCAGCAGTGATTTTGGAACAGTCCAATAGAATATGAAGGGATTTCAATAACAAAACATAAATATTGCTGATTTACTAAGGCTTAAACATTAGAGAGCATGGTCAGAATGTAAGGACTATTGCAGGCTCAGCTGGCCTGGCTCTCAGGACTTAGTGGGTAATGCTAAAATTCACTCTCTTTTTAGTCTACTTAAAGTAAGTTAAAGGTTAAAAACAAGTCATGACAGTTTTGAAGAGCCTGGATTAACCTTTATTTCAAATAATGGCCTTTCCCAGCTTCGATTTTGGAACAATCCATTAATAGATTGAGGGATTTCAGTACCAGAATACTAAAATAGAAGTCAGTAGCCAAAAGGAAAACAGTTGAGATATTATTTTTAGACAACCTTGATGTGAATACATGTATATACTGATCACACAGGTCTGTTACTATCATTCCTATATAGTGCTTAAAGGGATAAAGGTTATACATCAGACGGTTTTTCACATAAAGATGCTCCTTTTGCGGCTATCTAGATGTAATAAATGGGAAAATTTACTTACCTAATTAACATAAAAGGCCTACAGATAGATATATAGGTAACAGATCAATGGTGATAATGTTGATTTGGGTCTGTTTTAATGGATGTTCATACATTATATATCACTACTTTTATAGATATTTTATTGTGATATACACATATATATGTTTATTAAAGATTGTGACGTCCTTGGATAAGAAATATTTGCTGAAAGACTTGTTTTGTAATGTACAGCTTAACCTGTGTATAAAGACCAGTCATGACAGAAATGTTTTAAATGGTTTCTGTTGACAAGTGGTCTCTCTTAAAAGGTTATTTTGCTCATTGATTGATTGATCAGAAATATTGTATTATACAGTTAAACCTGTCTTTGAATACCAGCCATGAGACATGTAAGAACAAAATATTTTGAGAGGAGGGTCCTCTTAAAAGGTCATATTGCACAATAATTATCACAAATATTTGCCATAATGATTATTAAAAGATTTTAAACATGTATATCTAGTTGCAAGAAATTGTAAATTGTTTTCTGTTGACATGTGGTTTGTTTTAAAAGTGATCATTAATCCACACTAATTGATGGAAATGAAGGACAAATACTGACCTATAAAAACAGGGTTTTTTGTGTTAGGGTGTTGTTGTTTTTTTAGGGGTTTTCTTTGTTTGAAAGCAGGAGTAAGGTGTTTTTGTTTTCAGAGGTGTTCTTTGTTTTAAAATGGTGTGTTTAGTTGTTGTTTAATTCAAGAGTTGTGTTGGTTAAGAAGTGGTCTTTGTGCAAGAGTGGTATTTATTTAGGTATTGTCTTTATTAATGGGTGCTCTTTATTTACTGTGATTCTTGTTCAGTGGTGGCCTATGCCACTGGTTTGACTATAAATGTATTTGAAAGAGTAGTTTTTTATGTTTTATATGCTTAAGTTCATGTGTACATCAAATAAGGTATAAAGTAATAAATTTGTTTATAGTGTTATGGTTGATTTAAAAAAGTAATAGTCAGAGTTATCAGTTATTTACAATACTATTTAAACATTAAACATTGCTATTAAACATAAGTCTATGGTAATAAATGTAAATGGCAGATAATGTGTGGGTTTTTATTATTCAAATGAAAAATATTGATGAGTAATGTACAGTGAGTGAGATAAGAATGATACACTGAATATGACTTCAGTGAAAATCAATTCAACTTACTATTAATAGTCCTGGCAAAATTGTTTTGTTAAAGAATTTATCTTTGTCATTGAGAATATGGGTGCAATGTCTTTGAGAATAAGATATGCAATGTCATTGAGAATATGGGATGCAATGTCATTGAGAATGTGGGAGGTGATGTCATTGTGAGTATGAGATGCAATGTCATTGAGAATATGGGATGGAATGTCATTGAGAATATGGGATGCAATGTCATTGAGAATATGGTATGCAATGTCATTGAGAAATAATGGGATGCAATGTCATTGAGAATATGGGATGCAATGTCATTGAGAATATGGTATGCAATGTCATGGAGTATGAGATGCAATGTCATTGAGAATATGGGATACAATGTCATTGAGAATATGGGATGCAATGTCATTGAGAAATAATGGGATGCAATGTCATTGAGAAATAATGGGGTGCAATGTCATTGAGAATATGGTATGCAATGTCATTGAGAGTATGAGATGCAATGTCATTGAGAATATGGGATACAATGTCATTGAGAAATAATGGGATGCAATGTCATTGAGAATATGGGGTGCAATGTCATTGAGAGTATGGGATGCAATGTCATTGAGAGTATGAGATGCAATGTCATTGAGAATATGGGATGCAATGTCATTGAGAAATAATGGGATGCAATGTCATTGAGAAATAATGGGGTGCAATGTCATTGAGAATATGGTATGCAATGTCATTGAGAGTATGAGATGCAATGTCATTGAGAATATGGGATACAATGTCATTGAGAAATAATGGGATGCAATGTCATTGAGAATATGGGGTGCAATGTCATTGAGAGTATGAGATGCAATGTCATTGAGAATATGGGATGCAATGTCATTGAGAATATGGGATGCAATATCATTGAGAATATGGTATGCAATATCATTGAGAATATGGTATGCAATGTCAATGAGAATATGGGATGCAATATCATTGAGAATATGGTATGCAATGTCATTGAGAATATGGGATGCAATATCATTGAGAATATGGTATGCAATATCATTGAGAATATGGGGTGCAATATCATTGAGAAGAATATGGGTACAATGTCATTGAGAAATAATGGTATACAATGTCATTGAGAATATGATATGCAATGTCTTTGAGAATATGGGATGCAATGTCTTTGAGAATATGGTATGCAGTGTCTTTGAAAATATGGGACACAATGTCATTGAGAATATGGGATGCAATGCCATTGAGAAAAGAGTATGCAATATCATTGAGAAAATGGGATGCAATGTCATTGAGAATATAGGATGCAATGTCATTGAGAGTATGGGATGCAATGTCATTGAGAGTATTGGATGCAATGTCATTGAGAATATGGGATGCAATGTCATTGAGAAATAATGGGATGCAATGTCATTGAGAAATAATGGGGTGCAATGTCATTGAGAATATGGTATGCAATGTCATTGAGAGTATGAGATGCAATGTCATTGAGAATATGGGATACAATGTCATTGAGAAATAATGGGATGCAATGTCATTGAGAATATGGGGTTGCAATGTCATTGAGAGTATGAGATGCAATGTCATTGAGAATATGGGATGCAATGTCATTGAGAATATGGGATGCAATATCATTGAGAATATGGTATGCAATATCATTGAGAATATGTATGCAATGTCAATGAGAATATGGGAATGCAATATCATTGAGAATATGGTATGCAATGTCATTGAGAATATGGGATGCAATATCATTGAGAATATGGTATGCAATATCATTGAGAATATGGGTGCAATATCATTGAGAAGAATATGGGTACAATGTCATTGAGAAATAATGGTATACAATGTCATTGAGAATATGATATGCAATGTCTTTGAGAATATGGGATGCAATGTCTTTGAGAATATGGTATGCAGTGTCTTTGAAAATATGGGATACAATGTCATTGAGAATATGGGATGCAATGCCATTGAGAAAAGAGTATGCAATATCATTGAGAAAATGGGATGCAATGTCATTGAGAATATAGGATGCAATGTCATTGAGAGTATGGGATGCAATGTCATTGAGAGTATTGGATGCAATGTCATTGAGAATATGGGATGCAATGTCATTGAGAGTATGGGATGCAATGTCATTGAGAATATGGTATGCAATGTCATTGAGAATATGGTATGCAATGTCATTGAGAATATGGGATGCAATGTCATTGAGAATATGGGATGCAATGTCATTGAGAATATGGTATGCAATGTCATTGAGAATATGGTATGCAATATCATTGAGAATATGGGATGCAATGTCATTGAGAGTATGGTATGCAATGTCATTGAGAATATGGTATGCAATATCATTGAGAATATGGGATGCAATGCCATTGAGAATATGGGATGCAATGTCATTGAGAATATGGTATGCAATGTCATTGAGAATATGGGATGCAATGCCATTGAGAATATGGTATGCAATGCCATTGAGAATATGGGGTGCAATGTCATTGAGAGTATGGTATGCAATGTCATTGAGAATGAGGAAGGTAATCTCATTGTGAAGATTGGAGGAACTGTCATTCAGAATATGGTATGCAATGTCATTAAGAATATGGGATTCAATGTCATTAGGTATATGGTATGCAATGTCATTTAGAATATGGGATTCAATGTCATTAGGTATATGGTATGCAATGTCATTTAGAATATGGGATTCAATGTCATTAGGTATATGGTATGCAATGTCATTGAGAATATCAGGGATACAATTTTATTAGAATATGGGGTGCAATGTCTTTGAGAATATGGTATGCAATGTCATTGAGAATATGGGATACAACATCATTTAGAATATGTGATGCAGTGTCATTGAGAATATGGGATACAATGTCATTGAGAATATGGGATACAACATCATTTAGAATATGGGATGCAATGTCATTGAGAATATGGGCTACAATGTCATTGAGAATATGGGATGCAATGTCATTGAGAATATGGGATGCAATGTTGTTGAGGAGAATATGGGTACAATGTCATTGAGAAATAATGGTATACAATGTCATTGAGAGTATGGGATGCAATGTCATTGAGAGTATGGGATGCAATGTCATTGAGAATATGGGATGCAATGTTGTTGAGGAGAATATGGGTACAATGTCATTGAGAAATAATGGTATACAATGTCATTGAGAGTATGGGATGCAATGTCATTGAGAGTATGGGATGCAATGTCATTGAGAATATGATATGCAATATCATTGAGAATATGGTATGCAATGTCTTTGAGAATATGGGATACAATGTCATTGAGAATATGGGATGCAATGCCATTGAGAATATGGGATGCAATATCATTGAGACTGTGGTATGCAATGTCATTGAGAATAAAGATTCAGTGTTCTTGAGAATATAGTTTATAACGTCATCAAGTGTTTGTATGAATTATCATTAGAAATATGAATGCAATGTCATTTGAAATACAGTTGGCAGTGTCATTGACATTATATGGGATGGAACATATTACAGAATAGGCTATACAATTAATGTCTTACAGTGTTGGATATTATGCCATTAAGAGTATTTTATGCAATGTCATTTAGACAATTTGGATGTGATGTCATTGAGAAAATGTTTTGTTATGTCATTGAGAATATTGACTTGAATGTCAGTGAGCCATTTTGTCAGACTAATGCTTCCATTAATACAGTACTAAGATGAATATCAATTGAAGCCTTGTAAAATTTAATGATTAATGCATGAATATATGTAAAAAAAAGACATTTGCTTAACCATTCATGCATTTTGTTTATTACATCCTGTTATCAAAGGAGTGACAATGCAAAATCAGTATGTGAAATCTTAGATCTATTATATACAAGATAATAATTTATCATTTTATAGGTGTTGTAAATATGCCAATGAAAAGAGATCAACCTTAACAAAATTGCTTTCACTTTTATCTCCAAGATTGAAATATGAATATTATTGGTTGGACCGGAATAAGACTGCTATAAAAGATATTCAATATATACTAAGGGAGGAATTTTGTTTGTTTTCCCCGGTTTTTAATGTCAGTTTAATGAAGTCTCATGGTAGTCAAGTGACTGATTTATTCGGTTTGACCTTGGGTGACATTTGTAATAGTGTTCAGTGTCTTTGGTGATATTGTGTTACTTATCCCTTGTGATCTTGAATACTTACAGTTTATATTTAATAGATATGTAAACGGAGGTATATAGGATGCTTTAAATCCTGTAACAGGGGCCTACCTAGCCCAGTGCTTTACGTCACCGATTTAAAATCGGTGTGGGATAGAATCCCGTCAGGGTAGCTATCCAGCTAGCCAACGGATGGCCGGTGGTTCTACCCAGGTACCCGCTCGTGCCGGAATTAATGTTAGAAAGGGCAACTGATGTTTTCAGTGTAAAGCTGGGCATTCGCCTTATGACCTTTACAGTGTTGGTGTCCAACAAAATCTAAATTATTTTGTTATGATTTAGATCATTATATATTTAAATCATTTAGATCTCGAACAGTGTTGACTTTCATAGACATTTCTTTGTTTCTTGCGAAAATTTCTTTTGTTTTGCCTTTTTCGACTGCACTTCCGGTGGTTTTTAAATGATTCCTGATCATAAGTAAGAGTTCTATCTATTTGTAAGTACTGTATCTTTATTCAACTGTATTACACAATGACCAAGATCTGAAAATGATAAGAACAGAAACTATAATAAACTGATAAACTATGACAATTATCCTATAAAACCATGAATATTATTTCTCAAATATGCTTGCTATTGAAACGCGATAATTTGCATTTCAAATGCAATAGCGCGGGATGTGCGAGAAAAACGGGACTTGGAATTTTTGGTCTATAAACTTTTAAAGATAAATTCATTTAAAAGAAGATAAATAAAGGGCTATGAGTCTAATGTCCATGTTTAAATACACCTTCCTTTGGTTGATCCCAAACCTTATCTGCTTACACATATTGTAGAAATTTCAACAGCGTAACGTTGTCCCTGACTTTTAAATATTCAGAAAAGCTCACCCTACAACTTAAGAATCGCTTCTATTTAATTTCTTTTCTTGTGGTTTTATTGGTCTTTTGTCACCTAACTGTTCTATGTTCACCACCGTATGAGCAGATTGGCAGATGTTTCCAAATTCGTCACTGGACCATTTGCTTATGTTGTATTCGGCCGCCGCCGGTGCCAGGGTGCGTAGAGGTAGCTTGCAATTATCATTGCGGCTTATGTCTTACTTGAACAGCCGGAATCAAACTGAGCAAGCAACATATTTTGTCCATGCCGGGCGAATTTTAGCGGTTGCCTTAACAGAATTAATCATTTAAAACGACCGTCTGACCAGTTTGAAGTAGACATATTGATTTCATGTTTAGTATACCAAAGAAATCAAGTAGTAGATACGATGGTATATAACTACATATTTAGTATAATTTTACAGTCTTAAGATGAAATCTCTTGATATACAAAGGTACATATTAAAAGCGGTTGTGGTAATACTGCCAAGTATTTTCCCACGACATGACCCTTCATTCAACTTATATCTTATACTTTTTATTGAACTCTGTACTTCTGACCAAGGGCAAAATGACTTGACAACTGATTGGACTGTGCAAAAAAACACAGGTCATCAATATTGGTCATTAATTCATTATTAATATAACTTATTAAAGGGTGACCACACACGCACACCTTTTCTGATAAATAATACCACCTAGATATAGTAACAGGTGTTGATCAAAACGGGATTATTGCGGGTCAAATGGCCGTCAGCCAACGTTATGCAGTCAAAAATGGCTATACGAATGGGCCAAAGTCTGAAACAGGGACAATCACAAGTTAAACTCTTAAACATTTCTAAAGAGAAAACATGTACTATTTCTTTACAAATCAAGGATTTGTTTGTTTAGTTTGTTTTTCTGGTATTTACGCCGATATTTCACATGTTTGGTCATATCTTGCCACATTGAATACTGTGATTTGGCATATACAGTAAAAACTATCAAAGTGCCACATTGAATATCTTGGCGGTCGATCCCATTAACCGGCTTTACTGGATAACTAACCAGTTATTACCAATAGCTCTGCAAGAGACCAACTGTAAATATCATGCTTTCTGAATAAGAGGTGAGAGAGAAGTTACCATTTAACTTAAATATAGGAGATATGCTTGCTGACTTATCAAATATTCCAAACTGTCTTCTGACATATCTGATATTGGATCTGTTTGCTCATATTTCTGATATTCGATACTGCTTGCTGACTTATCAGATATTCCAGACTATAGTTGCTGACATATCTGATATTCGATATGCTTGCTGACTTATCAGATATTCCAGACTGTTTGCTGACTTATCTGATATTCGAACTGCTTGCTGACTTATCAGATATTCCAGACTGTTTGCTGACATATCTGATCATTTTTATTTATTTTGAATGCTTACAACAGAACGCTAACTAATTTTAAGTGTTTGAAATTTATTTCTATAAACTGTCGCTTTACTGGGTTGTTTAATAAAATTTGATTTACTAAAGTAAATATATAAGGATTCTTTTAAAATAAAGCAACTCTATTGGACATAAAACAAAGATCCTATGAATATCAGTAAAAAATATTCAAATGACAGTCTTCTTTAAGTTATACCAAAATCACCTATTAAAGTAGGAACGAAAAAAACGCATGCTGTAACAGGTTTTATGAAAAGACGGTTTTATTTGAAACATTCTCAAAAAGCACATAATTTATTATTTACCAAGTTGAAACAAGTTCGAATTATGCATATATTTCCACCCTTTAATTTAATCGCGATTTTATTACTTTAAGGCCGCATAATTGTTTACTTTGTCAGGTTTGTACGTCCAAATATTTACAATGAATTGAGACAGTTGTAATTGCTACAAAGTAAAAAGTCTGGGTCAAGTACACACCCTAACGCTCAAAATATACGATACCCGTTTTATTACAAATAAATATTTGCACAACTTTTTGTCCTTGATCGCCCGTCATTCATAGCCATTTCATTTTATTTTTTCTATACCAGTAATTTATTTATTGTGATGCCCAAGGTTCCCTTCATACTGATCTTATCAAGATAAAATGGCGAATTTTTACTTTTTATGTTAATTGGGTGTCCTTGCCTTATATATGTGACATACATTTAAAGCAAATTACACAATGTATATCCTTACAAATTGTATCCACAGTTGTACTAGTTCACTTCCGTATTGCCAAATTGAATACTACGTTTTGGCATACAACAAATTAAAACTGTGGCAAATCTACGGCTTTATATATACACTTCCAAACAGCTATATTGAACATACAATAATAACTGTGAATTTGTGTGTATTTGAGTTTATCTTTACTCTCCAGAAGAGTATTTTAGGGCAAGATACAGATACAGATAGATGCCCCAATTCCAGAAGCTTCTCCTGGTTTAGCGTGGCAAGTACACGGGAACTCGATTTTTACCCCACAATGTCGAGATTACAAGTCTTTCGCTCTAACTGATTGAGCTATGCGGGCTGGCTATAAATGTGAAAAGACAAACTGCATGCATTTATACACTTCCGTAGTTCGTTATTTGACATACAAAAACACTGTGAAGCGCTATGCATTTAGACAAATTGCATGCATTTATACACTTCCGTAGTTTCATATTGAATGCCGTTATTTGACATACAAAAACACTGTGAAGCTCTTTGCATTTAGACAAATTGCATGCACATTTATACACTTCCGTAGAGCTATATTGAATACAGTAATTTGACATACAATAAAAAATGTGAAGCTTTTCGCATCAAAGTGTGATTTGGCATACACAGTAAACACTATCAAACTGACACATTGAATACTATAATTTGTCATATATAATAGTAAAAACTAAGATTTGTGTAAGGTATTACACACTTTCAGACAACTTAAGCGTATTTATTCTGAAGCATTCATTTCCGTAGTGTCACATGAATATGTGATTTGACATACATTCGGAGCTTCAAATTTTCTCTATACAC